GATGTCAAAAGGGTGAACAGAAAGTGACACAAGGAGCAGCACTAAAGGCGCCTGAATCACATGAATCGCCAGCGAACTCGCCACAGGCACCACCACCCGAAGGAGGAGCATCAGTAACGGCAAGTACAACGACGGAAAACAAGGGTAAAAATGCACAAGAAGGTGAAAAGGGGGAAAACGAAGAGAAAGAAGACGAAGACGAAGAGGATGAAGTGGAAGAGGAAGAGGAAGAAGAGGAACAAGAAGAAGAAGATGAAGACGAAGAAGAAGAGGATGGTGCGAAAGAAAACGGGGAGACAGAGGAAGAAACGGCTACCGGCACCACAGAGGAGACCTCAGCAGGCAGTCAGGAGAAGCCAAGTTCATCTTCTGCTGCGGAGGGAGCATCGAATATAACAAATCCCAACAGCACACAAACAACTGGAGACGATGATCCAGCAGCTGATGGTGCAGGGACAGCGGAGGGAAAACAAAATGAAAATAAAGATGCCAATCCGAAAGAAACACCAGTGACGGCCACAGCCATGAAAACTACGACGGCGACGACTGGCGACAGTGACGGCAGCACCGCGGTCTCCCACACCACCTCCCCTCTTTTGCTTCTTCTTGTTTTTGCTTGTGCAGCTGCGGCTGCGGTGGTGGCCGCGTGAGAGTGAGGGAGAGAGAGCCGTGCACCGCCCGCACACACGCTCGTCCTTCTCTCTGTGTGTGTGTCCCCTTGCATGGACTCTCGCCCTCACCTCACCCCACGAGGCACACACAATAATGTGTCCATTGTATATATGCATGCACACCCATGCAGGCCCGTTGGTGCTCTCTTTTGCACGACACGCACCGCTGCCGTCCTGCCTGGCTGCATGGGCGGAGCACCGCAACTGTTTCTGTTTTGTTTTTATTGCATTGAGTGGGCGACCTCTCTCTCTCTCCCTGTGTGTGTGTTTTGCTTTACGGGAGCAATGAGAGTGTGTGCGCTGGTCGTCCCACGCTTCGGTTTTTTGTTTTGTTTTTGTTTTGTTTTTGTTTTACTTGTGTTTTGGTTGAGTGCGCCCTTTCCGCGGCTGCGTGTGTGTGTGTGATGATATGAGTAATTTGCGTGTGTGCTATCCGCTTCTCTGTTGTTGCCTTTTTTGACTCTCTTGTGTTCCGCACATCTGCTCTGCAAGTATAGGCGCTGACAAACACACAAGCACATGCACACGCTGTGGAGCGGCGTGAATGATGAGAACGCGCACACGCACAATATTTTGGCTGCGGCGGCCCTTTCGAGGAGGGATGAGGGAAGACTGCGATTTTATTTTTTTGCCGTGCTGCGAGCGTGATTTTCTTGGCGTGCTGCCCATGTGCGGCGCGGCATTGAGGGAGCCTGGGAGATATGCGTATGGATTCACTCCTGACAGCTTCACGTGCCGACGTGTTCCTCTCGCTGTTCGTACACCGACGGAGGATTCTCCGGCTGTGCGGGGCGATGTGCGATGGAGGGTGTGGGAAGAGACAACAGTAAAACGACTGGCGATGGCGCGTTGGTGTTGCGAGGGCAGTTGTACCCTTCTGCATCTCGCTGATTGTTTTGTGTGTCGGCGTAGCTCGGAGAGTGCTGACGCGTGGCAGAAGCACCCGCCGTGGCTCCTGCTGGTGGCAACAGTCGTTGTGTGTTCTCTTTGCACTGTTCTTCCTCCTCGTTCCGTGTGTCTGTGCGCGTGGGTTGTCGTTGTTGTTGGGGGGGAATGCGGTGCGGATGATGGTGCCACTCACTGTGGATGGGCGGCCGTGCTCACTGTTTCACTTCTTTTTCCTCTTTTTTCTAAACCACTCACACACAAAGGAAAGAAGTTTCTACCAAGCGCTAATCGCTACTGTGGAATTCGAAGGCTCTGAAAGGACCGACAGCACACACACCGCCCACACACACATATTTATATGCTCTCACGTGTTGCTGCAGTGAAGGCACCCCGCACACACAACCGTCGCCGCGTGACCGGATCGAGCGGAAGGAGGAGGGAGGGAAGAGAGAGTGAGCGGCGGATGCCCAACATGTCCCGGCATCTATTCTACTCTGCGGTGCCCCTTTTTCTTCTTCTTGCGATGTTGTGCTGCAACAGTGTTGGGGCTGTGGCTGCTGCAGGATCCGAGCCACGTCAGGGCTCTTCATCGGGGAAAATATTTTGTTTGGAGAGATGTGAAGGATGGAGAACAGTGAGTCCTCTCCATGCTCCCAGTCTTGTTGGGATGAATGGTGAGGTGTTTGCCGTTGCCGAGGCGTGGTGCGAGAAGGATAGCGTCATTTTCCTTGCATTGCTTCACAATTCATGAAGTTGGACGACAAAAACCCCAAAAGCCCTGGAAGCAACTGAGGTGAGGACGGAAGTGCTGGAGGAATGTCCAACCGATGGAAGGAATTGCGCCTCCAAAACAGAGGATAAGGATGATTCCCAAGGCGGGACGAGAGTACATGTGAGCCGTCCAACAACAGTTGTGAAGGGAAATTATATTTACATGCTTGCTGGAGTCTGCATGAGTAAAGGTCTCTCTGATTGTCAGGTAGGTGTGGCTGGCGTGGCTCAGTGGGGACTTTTGCTGGTGAAAGGGAACGTCAGTGGTGTGGATGAAAGTACCAAAAGAATTTGTTGGAATGATACCATCAGTATTTTGTGCAATGCTATCGGTGACAACGATGACACTTTGACAGGACGCATTGGCGGTGGTGGATCGGGTGTTAAGATGGAGGACGGTACGCTTGTGTTCGCAACGGAAGCCGTGAATGAGAATAAGGTTAATGGCACTGCGGAGGATGGAGGGAATAACAATGTTTTGCTGCTCATATACTCCTCGGATGCTGCAAATTGGACGCTGTCGAAGGGGATGTCTGACGGCGGCTGCAGTGATCCCTCCGTCGTGGAGTGGAAGGACAAAAAACTCATGATGATGACTGCGTGTGCTGATGGCCGCCGCAGGGTGTACGAGATCGGTGACAAGGGGAGGCCGTGGACGGAGACGCTCGGGACACTCTCGCGCGTGTGGGGCAGCAACCGTAAGCGACATGAGAAGGGCGTTGGAAGCGGGTTCATTACAGCGACGATTGAGAACCGGGACGTGATGCTTGTTGCTCTGCCGGCGTATTCCGAGAAGCTTGAGAAGGGAGGCGCTCAAAAGGGTGAACTCCACCTTTGGCTGACGGACAATACGCACATTGTTGATATTGGGCCGGTATCCGGGGAAGGAGACGATGCTGCCGCCAGTACCCTGCTGTACAAAGGTGGCAAAAGTGGTGAAGCTAATAATAATGAAGAGTTGATTGCACTGTACGAGAAGAAGGGCGCTGAGGGCAAACCATCACCTGGTGTGGTCTCTGTGCTCCTGACTGCGCAGCTGAAGCGAGTGAAGGAGGTGGTGGCGACCTGGAATAAAGTGGACCAAGGCGTTTCCCAGCTGTGCTCCCCAAGTGCTGAGAAGGACCGTCCAACTGAAAATGACTGCAGCGGTGTTAAGATCACGGATGGGCTGGTTGGCTTTTTGTCCGGCAACTTCTCTGGTAACACATGGAGGGACGAGTAACTCGGGGTGAACGCCACGGTAAGTAATAATGAAGGGGCTGCGAAGGCAACATTGCATGCCGGCGGAGTGACGTTCAAAGGAGCGTGGGTGGAGTGGCCTGTTGGCAGTCAGGGGGAGAATCAGCTGTACCACTTTGCGAACCACAACTTCACTCTTGTGGCGACGGTGTCCATCGACAAGGTGCCGACGAGGGAGGGCCCTATTCCTTTGATGGGTGTGAAGATGAATGACGCAGAGAATCCGGTACTTCTGGGACTGTCGTTCAATAAAGAAAAGAAGAGGAAATTGTTGCAGAGTGGTGGAAAGACCGAGGAGCTCAGCGGCACTTGGGAGACAGATGCAAAGTACCAGGTGGCGATTGTGCTACAGAACGGCACCCAGGGCTCAATCCACGTTAATGGTAAACTTGTGTGTGGGGATGCGCAATGTGAACTGAAAAATACGGATATTAATGTGGTCTCCCACTTCTGCGTTGGAGGGGATGGAGACAAAACAGGGAGCAACGAAGGCGTGTCTGTGACTGTGACGAACGTCCTGCTGTGCAACCGCCCGTTGGATGGCAATGGGATTAATGCGCTTAACGCAAACAAAGCTTCTATTCCGAAGAGTGTGGCTGCGCGTACGTCTTCAGCCGTGGTGTCTCGCCCGAAGTGCTCTGCTGATCATTTGGCGGCGGGAGCAACGGGTGGCGTTGCCGCTCGTGGCAGTGGGGCACATGGTGGTGGCGGCACTGTGTTTGGCAACGAGGTGCTGCCATCGCTGCTTCTTCTGTTGGGACTGTGGGGGTTTGCGGCACTGTGAGGAGTGACTGGCTGCCGCGTGGGGCACTGCGACCTTCCCTGCACAGAACTACTGTCCTCCCGTAAACGAAATATTCCCCGGATAACATTTTTTTTGTTTGTAATTTTACGCCTTTTTTTTGTGCCTTTTTTTAATTTGAATTTTGTGTGCTGCCACCGTGCGTGATTGTTGATGTCGGGGCCGTACCGCATGTACCGCTGCCATCCAGCTGTGCCTCTTGCTGTGTGTGTGTCCCCTTGCATGAACTCTCGCCCTCACCTCACCCCACGAAGCACACACATAATGTGCCCATTGTATATATGCATGCACACCCATGCAGGCCCGTTGGTGCTGTCTTTTGCACGACACGCACCGCTGCCGTCCTGCCTGGCTGCATGGGCGGAGCACCGTAACTGTTTGTTTCGTTTTTATTGCATTGAGTGGGCGACCTCTCTCTCTCTCCCTGTGTGTGTGTTTTGCTTTACGGGAGCAATGAGAGTGTGTGCGCTGGTCGTCCCATGCCTCGGCTTTTTTCTTTTTGTTTTTTTACTTGTGTTTTGGTTGGGTGCACCCATTTTACTTTCATTGATTGGCGGCATGCTGTGACTGTGGGCTCTTTAGTCTTCTTTTTTTATTCCCATATCTTTTTTTTTTGTTTCGAAGTGTCAGCCTCTTTTGTCTTTGTGAGGCCACTAAGTTTTTTCTTCGACATACGCCATGCGTCAGTTGGTCCACGTTAACCCGTGGCTTGCAGCGCTTCTGCTGCTGTTTGTTATGGTGCGTGCGAAGTGATTGCCAGCGGATGCTTTGCTGTCACCCTGACGCATCCATGCTTTTTCCTTTTCGATGTGGTGCGTACCGACGGCGCGTGGGCGACTCCGGTTGTGGTGAGGGTCGTGCCTCTCACAGCGCAGGATGTGCCGCAGGTGTGCGGCGTCGTTTGTAAGAGCCGATGGGCGTTTGTCCGCATCAAGACGTCAACAAGGATCCCTGATGACAGCAGGAGGCACTGCGGCTTCTTCTAACCCCGGCGATGACGTTGCACATTGTCGCGGTGCTGGGGCTCTGGTTGCGTATAGGAACTTCGCGGCAGGGCATTGCTGCGAGCACGACGGAGACCAAGACGACTCCACCCCTCGAGAAGGTTCCACGCCATGCCCGGTGCGGGGAGGTGAAGCGGTCTGCCTGCAGGCTGTCGGACAAAACTGCACGGCCGTTTCGCAGCGGTCACTCCGTTGATATCACCCGTGGCGGTGACGTCCACAAGAACCCTGGCACCGAGGAGGATGGCTACATCACTATTTGGCAGCTCAACATTGCAGGCCTCTCGTCAGCAAAAAGGATTGCATTTGCTGTACGATTGGAGCTGCATCCACCTGACATCGTTCTTTTCCAGGAAATAAATGACCGTAGCAACATGGCGACAAAAGTTTCTGCCTGCAATGACTTTCTTCAGGCCTGCACTGGGCGCGGTGGTGGTGTTGCCATTCTGGTGCGCCACTCTCTGCCGTGCGAGCGCCTGTCGCTCCCTGGCATTGACCTCCTGGAGACCATTGCTGTCCGTGTATTTTCTCCGGGCTGTCCCAGCATTTGCGTGGCGAATCTCTACAACCCTCCCACAGCAATTGGTCAATAATCCGCATTTATCAATATCGTTTGTCGCTTGGGCCCGAAGAGATTATCGCGGGTGACCTGAATTTGCATCATGGACTCTGGGACAGCCATATGTACCATCAAGGACTGGAGGCAATAATTTTGCCGCCGTTTTAATTGATATGGATTTCGGACTGGCAAATGACACGGCACAGGCAACACGGATCACACATCGTAATGTCTCGTCCCCTGGCGTGACTGCGTATCGCGTACTGCGTGTCACCCACTGGACATCCACTCCCTACATAGACTCGGACCGCTTCTTAATATCTTACTTGGTAGAGATGGACGATGGCACTCCACGACTAGCAAACACGCTGCCTTGATGGAAGAAAGCCACCTTTGTCCTGCGTAAAGCGGATTGGCCTGCTTTCACCTCGTTGTGTGAAACCCTCCTTTTTACCGTGTCCGAATGGTTGGACATTCGCAGAGGCATCTTGCGAGCGGCTGAGCGCCACATCCCGCGCGGCAGCCGTGACAGCTCCAAAAAAGACATGGACACACGAAATGGAACAAGCCGAGTCCGCCGCCGAAGCAGCACACGAAGCACACACATTTGCTCACCCGGAGACAGCCTACTTCGAGCCGAATTTATTTGAAAAAAGGGAGGAACGAAATGAAGCCTTACACCGTTGCTCCGAGGCTTCGCTATGCTTCTGGAAGCCCGCGCGAAAAGACTTGGAGCCTCACCTAGCCCGAGGTGGCGATATCTTCACGGCGTGGCGGCGCCGCACCCTCATCCTCTGGAATTGGTTGTGCTCCGCACTGAACTTGGCCGCGTATGCGCCCTGCCTCGGCAACAGGCAAATCTGCTTGTTCGTCATTTTGTGCGGTTTCACGTGCCGCATTACCTTATACTGCTGCTGCTGCTCGCTGCACTCCTTTGGTTCCTGGTGACTGGGAAATGGATCGGCCTTTCCTGCCGTATGAACTTGACGTGGCCATCCGTGACTCTTTGCTCGGCTCAGCCCCTGGCCCCGGCGACATGTTGAATGAATTCCTGCACCGTCTCGGGCCCGTTGCGCGTGGCACACTTAGAACTATGATCCACAACTCCCTCGCAAATGGCAGCTTGCCTGGCTCCTGGAAAATGGGAGACGCTATTCCTATCCCAACCCGGGAAGGATCCATGCCGCCCAGAGAGTCACAGACCTATCACGCTGCTCTCTGCTTTACTAAAGTTAATCGAAAGAATGATTCACCGCCGTCTGTCAGCGTTATTGCCGCACCACCCACGTGAATTCGGATTTGCACCTCCGCGTTCTACATCGTACGTGGCGACACTTGTAATCGATAAAATTACCCGTGGATTGAATGAGTTTGGCACTGTGGAATATGCGCGCCCTGGAGGCGACGCCCCCACACGACGCCCTCGTCGCCATCGCTTGTGGTCTCGATTGATTTTCCGACTGCGTTCGACACCACTGACCATGGGAAGTTATTCTGCATGCTTGACAGACTTCCGCGCCTTGGCCTCGAACCAAACGCTGGTTGCACAACTACCTGCGGGGCCGCTATGTTAGGGTGTGCACTCCTGAACAGCACTCCCGGAAACAACTCGCCTCAGCTGGAGCACCGCAAGGCGGCGTCCCGGGACCCCAACTCTTCTTCCGCCATGTGGATGATCTGCTGCACCGCCTGGAGAACATCTATTCTGCCGCCGCTTTCATGTACGCTGACGAACGCGCACTTGTTGCCTTAGGTGCGGACATCCATGCCTGTGCTGCGGCAATGCGACCGCTCTTGTCTCTTGTGGCCACATGGGCTGCCGAGCAAAACCTCAAAATCAACGTCGCTAAGAACGAAGCTGCTCTATTCTACATCTCTTCACACACACACGGTCTGATGAGGACATGGTCGATCTCCATCTTGGCAATGGGAACCTACGCATTCAGTCACGCCCAGTGCGCTTGCTGGACACCACGATTAATCGCCTTCTTAATTTTGGCACGCACGCCTCCACCGCTGCAAAGCAGACCATGCCACGCCGCTATCAGCTGCGTCTGGTCGCGGAGGCGGACGCGTCCCATCACACCATGTGATCCTTTTTGATTGGATGCGTTCATAGTGTGCTATTTCATAGTGGCGAGGCAATTGTCCCATGCTTCGCCCACATTCACCTCCATAATATGGAAGTACGGTACCGCGACGATAGCAAAACATTCTTGGCCTAATCGCATCTACAGGAGACACATCTGTCTGCTTGGAAGGCAATCTTCTTCGGCTCCGAAAGATACTCTGGCGTCGTGCACTCACACAATACTAGCTCTGTATACGCCTCCATGATCACGAGGATTTGCGTTCCCTTATCTAATCGGAATCTATGCCGCCGTCCATGCATGGAAAGCGGCGAAATCGATCCGCTTCCGAGAGATGCTGTTGTTAATGGATTGCGCCGCGTATGTAACACTATTGGGATACCCCACAACCACATTCGCGCCTCTTGCCCAACATCGTATTTTCCCCTGGGACACTGTGAGTTGCAGCGGGGTGAGATTTTATCAGCCACTGCTTGCCGAAGACGCCTCTGACGATGTCGGGCGCACGGCTCTTGATTCTATTTACTCCTCTCTGGGAGCGTATGGTTTTGAATTGTGGACGGACGGTCCTTCATATCTCGCTGAACTCCCATCTGGATCCGCTGCGCTATTATATGGCTCCACCACGACAAATGATCTCCCTGTGGAGGTACATTGTGCAGCAACTGGCAGCCTCGCATGCTCATATAGGGCAGACTGCCCTGCGATCAAAAATGGCTTTAGACATCTCATACCTTTTTTGTTTGGAAAAATCCCAATTGCCCACACGAATCTTGGTGGCAACGGACTTCTTCTCGGCGATGGAGTCACTCCGCCTTGGCCCGCTGGCGGTGCACGACGACGTCAGCGAGAAGATTTTTGCCGTGCCGCATTCACTGGTGGATTGAGGTCGCGCTGTTGGCTCCACATTTCCCCATGACACTGCGGTATTCCACGCAGTGAGGCCGCTGACAAACAAGCCACGATTGCACGATCCCTCCCGCAGGAGGGCAGCTCAATCTGGCACGTGGACTTTCTCGCCGCCGTCAAGAGGTTATAACGGAAGGATGCCCAGGAGGAAAAGGAAGGCGCGCACACCGCGTGACAGGCGCCTGTCGGTGTGGCGAGGACTCTATTCCTGGTGCTGACCCGGACATCGGTCCCCGAGTGGCGGCTCTGCGCACAGGCGCGATGCGACTCCTTCCCACTCCTCGACAGGCCTGCACGCGCCCTGCGGATCACAAGGAACCCTCTGTGTCGGTGGTGCCGTTCATTTCTTCACTGCGGTGACCGGCCCGCCTCTGCCTCTGCCGGAACCTCTTCCCGACGTGAGCACCGCAACTCCTTGTCGACCAGCGAGCGGCGGATTGACGTCCTCCTGCCCAACCTGCAGCAGAGTGCGCTTGTCCGTCCACAATATGAGGGCACATGCCGGACGTGCTCAGCCTGGCGTTATAATAGTTTGCGAGGGCCTCCCGTGCGGATGCCACAATGGCGCCACGGTCTCCTTAACAGGTGCCTCGCGCGCAGGTCACCACCGAAGTCGCCAAGCACGCCAGCATGCAAGACACGCAGGAAGCACAAACGAGGGTACTCGAGATGGACCAGGCTCTTCCGCCACCGCCTCATCACGGACGCCACGTGCTGCTGATTCCACGACGAACCACGGGAAACTCTGCCTCATCGACTGTGGGAATGCCCTCGTCGTTGGGAACTGGACTGTGACTGTTTGTGACTGCCCCAGCCCGCACGACGGAATACTTGCCACTTTTGTACGGACGGCCCTTGCGCTACTCACTCGTTATTGTAGCAGCATACAACCAAAACAAGATAACAAGCTGCTTTGTAATGAATATTGGCTAGCCTTTCCGTGGACCAGTAATCCACGTGGTGTGCGGGGATCTCTCCCTTTTTTATTGTTACTTTGCTTTTGTGTTGCTGTGTGCGCTGCACCTCCTCTTGTGTGTGCGCTGCACCCTCCGTGAGGGGTGCAGACACGACGGACCGCTCTCGCCGTATGTGCATGCGGTGGAGCCCTGTGTGCCGCTCCTGTTTGCTTCTCCCTCTTCCATCTGTGTGTTGGTACTGCGGCAGGGCTGTGTGTGTGTGTGTGTGTGCCTGTTGCCGTGGATTGGAGTGTGTGTCGTGCGCGGTGTGCGGCGTACGGTGCATGCCTGGCTGCTGCCCTCTCCTCATGCGGTGTGCCCTCTGTGTGTGTCTGCCGCACCTCTCGTCTCCCCTGCTGCTCTCCATGTCCCTCGCTGTGCAGATCAGCCCCACACCACTGAACGACCACACTCACGATGATGATGACGGCGTGCCGTCTGCTGTGCGCCCTGTTGGTGCTTGCCCTGTGCTGCTGCCCGTCCGTGTGCGCTGCACAGGATGTACCGGCTCAAGCTTCTTTCCAGACAATGACTACTACAGCAGAGAAACCAGGCAGGAAGAAGAAGAGGTCTGAAGTTCTTTTCAAGGAAAATGTGATTACAACAACAACACGAGTCGTTGACTCCAAGCCTGAGGATGACACACGTGGAACCGCCACCACTCTTCCTTCCCCTTCAGCAGAGGGAGAACGGGGGAAAGGTAAGACGGGGACGTCAGGTGTGGTGCCCGCTGCGGAACAGGAAGATACTGCCAGAGATGGACAAACTTTGACTGGTCCAGATTCGTATTCAATTGTTGCTACCAGTACTTTACAGAGAGAGGGTACGGATGGTACATCAGGGACACAAAGCCGCACGAGTACGGCTGCAGAACAAGCAACTGAGGAAGCCAAGGATCCTGCCGCGACGGCCACGACGAAGACTACAACAAAGGCACCAAGCACTACTACAACCACCACTGCACCCGAGGCACCAAGTAATACGGCCATGAATACAGAGGCGCCAACCACGACGACCACCCGCGCACCGTCACGTCATCGCGAAATCGACGGCAGCCTCAGCAGCTCTGTGTGGGTGTGTGCCCCGCTGGTGCTCGCCGCATCCGCGCTGGCGTACACCACTCTGGGCTAAAGAATTATTTGCGGGCTGTGCGCGTCTACTGTGGTCCGATGTAAAAAAATAAGAGAAAATAATGATTGTGTTGTGCTTCACTTGCTTCCGCTGCCCTGCTATGTACTCCATTTTGCTGCTCCCTGTATCCGTCACGTGGAACTAATCCCAGAGACACTCGTATGTGTAATACACACATACAACTGTTTGCGTGGACGCATTTTTGGGTTCTGGTTGCATGCACCCTGGCGCCATTCGGTGCAGTTTCTTTTTTGTTGCTTTTTTGCCTCTGTTTTTTTACTTTTTTTTTCTTGTTAATTGATTGCTTTAGGTCTGTGTGTGTTTGCGTTTTGCCCTTTCACCGATTTTAACTGTCTCATGATGTGTTTGTTGTTGCTGGGCTACTGTCATTTGTGATGCTGCGTAATTGCGTGAAGTGTCTCTTCTTTTTGCTCTGCGTTGACGTGTTGTTAGTTTGTGCTGAAGGCTACACGCAACTGACAGGAGTGATGATGATGACGATGACTGGCCGTGTGCTGCTGGTGTGTGCCCTCTGCGTGCTGTGGTGCGTTGCCGGCGGTGTTTATGCGAGGGACGTCGATAACAACGCACAGGGTGTTTGCATGGCGTCGGGAGTGGTGGTCAAGAATTGTTCTCAGATGCCGAGCGGATGTGATAAAACTACGATTACGGTGCCTTTGCGGTCAGTATTGCCCATTACTGCCGTCGAAGCCTCGACTGAAAATAATGTTTCTGGTTCAACAGACGGTAATCAGGACTCAACTTCAGATATAAATCCAGGTGTTGTTGATGGTACTGATGGTGAAGGTACCGTACAGGCTGGTGGCAGCAAAACTGCTGGAGATTCTAGGGGCGGTGGTGATGCTGGATCGAGTGGAAGTTCTAAGGGAAGCGAAGGTCTCGATTCGGAGCCTCTCCCCTCTGGCGGTGGGGGCACAGGTGACTCTCCGCCGTCTTCTTCTACGGACGTTACCTCCTCAACTCGCAGTGGTGGTGGCATGGATTCCACAGGAAATGCTTTATCCTCAGTGGGGAATAAAACTCCAGAAGTCGTTCAGCCAGAAAAAGCCGCAAACGCAGCATTGCCTCAACACCCCACATCTCAAGAACAGGAAACGATGAAATCCACCCCTGGAACGCAGTCACAAACTCCTTCTTTGGCAGCTGGTCAAGATGTTGGCGACGGTGTCACGGATGGCGAAGGTCAAGGCTCCTCGAGAGAAAAAACAAAAGAAAACGAGGATCTAAAGGCCCCCGGAACGGAAGTAATATTTGAATCTCCAGGCCCCAAATTGCACGGCAGTGGAGGAAACGAATCGGAATTACCCAACGCAACATTGCAGGAGACGAAAACCCAAAAACAAGGGAAAACTCTAGAAAAAGAGAATAATGACAGCCAGAGCGGAGGTGCACCCAAAAATTCATCTAATAAGCATGAAAGAAACGATAGGCGAGAAGGAAGTAGCAAAGCCACCACATCCACAGCAGGCACCGCGCAGAGTACATCAACTGGCAGTCAAGAACAAGCAGCTGCGTCATCTTCAGTTGGAACCCCTACTCCAGATCAGGAGGAAAAATTCACTGGAAAGAAACGTACTGAGAGTACCCAACCTCCAGATGCTGCAGGAACTGGTAAACCCTCAAGTGGAGATAAAGCAAATATTGCCGACAGTGACGGCAGCACCGCGGTCTACCACACCACCTCCCCTCTTTTGCTTCTTCTTGTTGTTGCTTGTGCGGCTGCTGCTGCGGTGGTGGCCGCGTGAGAGTGAGTGAGAGAGAGCCGTGCACCGCCCGCACACACACTCTTCCTTCTCTCTGTGTGCGTGTCCCCTTGCATGGACTCTCGCCCTCACCTCACCCCACGAGGCACACACAATAATGTGCCCATTGTATATATGCATGCACACCCATGCAGGCCCGTTGGTGCTCTCTTTTGCAAGACACGCACCGCTGCCGTCCTGCCTGGCTGCATGGGCGGAGCACCGTAACTGTTTCTGTTTTTATTGCATTGAGTGGGCGACCTCTCTCTCTCCCTCTGTGTGTGTGTGCTTTGCTTTACGGGAGCAATGAGAGTGTGTGTGCGCTGGTCGTCCCACGCTTCGGCTTTTTGTTTTGAATCTTTGCTTCTGTTGTGGTTTAGTTCGCCCATTTTACTTTCATTGATTGGTTTTCTTCTTAAAGTGCGGATGGCTGAATATTCCCTTTTGTATTCCCCTGTTCTTTGTTTCTCCCACGCAATCGGTCCTTTTTGCTTCAGCGAGCCACGAAATATTTGCCCAACACCCACATCAATGGCTTACTTGCTCTACACCCCACATTAGTTTGAGACGCTGGTGCTGCTGCATTTGATGATGTTTATGGTGTGATTGCCAGCGGTGCTTTGCTGTCACTTTGACGTTCCCTCGATTTGTTGAATATGTTATGCGTGCCGACAGCACGAATTGGATCCGCGTTGTTGTGAGGGACGCACCCTTTTTGAGCAGTTGGTGCGCTGCAGCCATACACCGTCATTGGGATGGATGGATGCCCATCCGCATCAACGTATCCACAAGGGACCTGGATGATGCCGGGAAGTATTGGATCTCAGAGAGGCACCACGCACTGAATTCATTGAATGACAATTGCGAGTGTGAGGGTGACGTTGTATCCTCTGCGCACGGGATCATTCTCGAGGATGAAGTTGTCCCTGCTGCTTTCAAACTGCATGCGGATCGTCTGCTCGTGCAGCCACTGGAGGGTCCTTTGATTGTGCCCCCATTTGCCACGGGCAGCGTTTGCATTCGGTTCACGGTGCGTGCTGGGCATTGTTCCACTGGTGTTGCCAATGCTGACATGGTGCTGTGCGTGGCAGAGCGCTGTCGGTGGTGGTGCACTCGACGACTGCCGTGGTGGCTGCGAGGAGCCCCGCGACTGCGACGACATTGATGGCATGGAGCTGCAGGATGGCGATGGTGACGGGAGGACGCTGGAGTCGCACTGGTCGCAGCGCCACGCGAAGGATGAGTGGATGGCACCGATTGGTTGTGCCGGCTGCCGCACGGAGCTGACGCTGGCCGCACCGGCTGACCTGGGCTGCATGAGGGTGAAGTGGGAGATGGCGGAGCCGATGCGCTGGTGAAGGAATTCGTGCTGTGCGCTGCTGCAGAGGAAGTGCTCCGCACCGAACATGAGTGAATATCCCCAGATGTTCTGCGAAGCGGGAGTTCCTGCCAGACGCTGCACGTTGGATCGGTATTCCGGTGGTTGGTGTGTAGACGAATTATCCATGAGGGGTCAGCAAAACGCCCGATGGACAGTTGCCCCATCATTGGTCCCGCACTGGATGTGAGAAATGCTGCCGCTGTTATTTGGAGGGGAGAATGTTTTTCTGCGGTGCCTGGGGACAAGTCCTCTTCGTGGTGTCTGGACACGCCTCCCACCAACACGACGGATGCGAGGGACCCGGAAGAAACGTACATCTCGGTGCTGCCATGCATGAGACGTTGCGGTGCCTCGGCATGCGGGTGCGTCTGAGAGTGAGTGAAGAGGGTAACGCCCGTTGTGCCCCATGCACGGCCGAGGCGACGATTACGTGGGTTGCTCCGCCCTACGACGAGGGAAAAGCTATTTTCCGTGACCACGCGCAGGTGTGCATGATATCCGCCACCAGCGGCAGCCTGCTTCCAATAGTTTCGTGGGCTGGCGATGTGAGAGGGTGTGTGGAGCAGGACGGTTTCACTGGCATCTACTGAACAAGCTTTGCTACGGGCATCCGTCCCCGATCCAGAGAGCATTGGGACCGGCCGTGGCACACCACCGAAGTATGTGGACACGGCTGCTCCCCAGAAGCATCCGTCGCCAGAGGAGAAGGAAGTCGCCTCCGGTGCCACGACGGCAACGGAGTGCTCTTGCCCAGCGACACCGCGGGTGCGCCGCAGGAGGCGGAGAAGAGGAGCGATGTTCCGGAAATCGACTATGTGGCCGCCGATGGTGTGACGTCTGTTGTGGGACAATCATTAGGAGATGAGGCCGTCAGCGACAAGGCCGGTGGCGGTGCCACAGCCACGGGACCCAGGAGCCCTGATGCCGCTGATGACGCGCAGGGCGCCGTGGACCCTCCGCCGAGGGAGGATGATGCGGCGGTGGTGCGCGGGGGTTGGGAGGCAGACATGAAGGACGCCTCGCCTCCGATCCACGGCAATAACAGTGCGGCTGCTGCTTGTCCCTTTCCGCTGATTCTTCTGCTTGCCGCTGCCGCCGCTGTGGCAACACTGAGCAGTGGGTGCAAGAGAGAAAGGCCTATATCAACTGGCATGTTCCTATCAGTATATATACATACACTCTGCTTGTCTGTATACTTTGTACCAGGGAAATGCTGTATGCACTCTCCCTCTTTTGTGTTGGTTGCTAATGTGGCGGCACCACGCGTGTATTATGGGTTGGGATAAGAAATTGTTTGACTTCTTCTGGAGGATACTGTGAGGTGTTTGTGTGCGTGTACGAGGGATCTGTGTG